TTTGTACCCTTACTTTATCGAAAATACCTTTACTAATGTCAATTGTACAAAACAACAATAGACAAACAAATTCTATCCAAACATCTGATTCTTCACGTGAAGGGCTCCGTTTCCAATGTAATGTTATAATTAATTAAGTAATTATACTATAAATCTATAACATTTAATTAAATAATACACTAATATAGGAAATTACAAATGTTTATTATAATTAATTAATAATTAAGTAATCATTTATCTAGTAATGTATTAATGTTTATCAATTTATCATATATAATTAATTAATTATTAGTTTATTCTAAATATACGTAGAACTTACTAATTGAAGTAAATAACTAAATATTATTCAATCAAATATATTATTTTATTCAAAAATAATTCTTTTAATAACATTAAAACACTTTTAATTAAATCTTAATTCTAATTATAATTTATACACTTAATTAATCAAAACTTTAAATCATGATATATTAAAGTTTTTTATATGTAAAAATTTTATTATATTAATTTGATTAGGTTATTTTTATATATATTGAAGTTTTTTTATATAGTGAAGTATACATGTATAATTAATTGTATATATATTTGATTAGGTTATTGTTATTGTTACACTATAATTTTTTATATAAAATTTCATCCGATTTAGCCGTTTGAAAATTTTGATAAATAAAATTACAAAAGACTTCTAATCCTTTCTGATTATGATATTTCGTTTAAATTTAGGTTTCAATACAGGTTCCTAAAAATGTATGATTTATATTGTTGCACTGTTTAACTAATATAAGATCATGGACATTCATCGTTAATCTATACTATACTATGTATTATTCAATTTATTAGGTTTGTTAAAATATCTTTGGTTAGGGGCATTATTTCTATTATATCTTACTCAAAGTACATATTTGTTTCTCTATTTTAAAAATCTAATTTTATTTTATTCAATCCTAAAAAGTTTATAAATTGATAAAAACACCTTCACCTATTCACATATTTTCGATAGTCGACCACTGGTTGTCGGCATTTAATTGGTGAGTGGGAGTGTTTTTATTAATTTTAAAATTTTTATTGAAGGAGGTGTTTAACTGAATTAACAAATATAAGGGATTAAAAAATAATCTTATCAATCAAATTTTCAAATTCAAATCTTATCTCGTAATAATAATTCAACTCTAACTTTTTCAAAAATACTATTCAAATTAATATAATAAACACATCCTATAAAACAAACACACCCTATAAATTTAGTACAAGATTCTCTTGTAAGTCTAATATATTTCTTTGTATTTAGTGTTTTGAAAATCGGACCGTCTGATCAGATCGACTCAACCAGGAACCGGTGTCATCTCTGGTCTAGTTTCCCCTGAAAATCAGTATTATCAATCTAATCTAATGGAGCCTTGGTTGGACCGTCAGAATAGTGTCAAATCGCTGTCCAATCGTGAGTTAATCTTGTCGGATTGCATTGTTCAAGGGAGATAACACCACCATAAGACTTGACGACATCTCCATAACAAAGCCCACCCATTTTCAGTGGTGTTGTCCAGCCTTTCGTCGCTCATCGTCCACCTATCATTCACGCAATCGTCGGCCTTCCTTCTTGATTCCGGCAAATTCCAACGTTGTTAGAATTCTTTGACACCACCATCAGATTCACCAGTACCTCTACATTGGTCGTTGATCGTCGTCCACCTATTCACGCAACCGTTGACCTTCCTTCTTGATTCCGAAAAAGTCTGACGCCAGTATAACTCCCTGACACCACCATAAGATTTGTCGGCACCTATACATCAAAAGCCCCATGATTCCAGACTTTGATTGACCGTTGATCGTTGCTACTGCCAGTACTCACCGGTCTTTTCATGCGATATGGGTGTTTTGGATAGATTTCAAACCTTAAAGGAGTCATACATTATTTAGGGGTGTTTTTGATGAATTTCAAATATTTAGTAATTAAAAAAATTTTACAGGATAAGGTCCAACCGGTTAAACCAACCGATCAACTAAGAATTGGACCCTTGAATGGGTAAAGGCTTGATCCGGGTTTTAGAACATTGTTTGTATTTAATCTTATATATTATAAACAAATGCAATTCAATAGTAAGCTTCATGATTTTATGCTTTAATATCATTGTTTACATAGGCTACATTTTAATCAATGGGGTTTGAACTTTTCTGTCTCTTTTTTTCTTGATGTCATCAACTTTTGTTTAGTGTACAAATATTATAATATGGCACAGCAGACAAAGTTGGATACTTTATTGAAAGGGACGGCCAATTTTTATTGTTTTCGAGTATGAGATACACGAAGGCATCATTTTCTCAATTTGTTATTCAATTATTTCTCTGTTTCTATGACCTAATAAGATAGGCATTAGCCCAGAAGACCTCATCACCTCTAGCATCATCACCTCTAGCAACTTGTTTACACCCAAGGTTTAAAAAAAAAAAAAAAAAAACAATAATACTATATTTAGATAGAAATTTTATCAAATTTTTTATATTAATAAAAAATAAACAGAAGAGTAAAATAAAAAATTTAACTTATTATAATTATTTATTTATTTATTTTTTATCACACTATTTTGTATGAAAATCTTTGTAAGTGTAACATTGTTTTTTAAGAAATCATCTAGAAAATTGGTCTGAGATTCCTATGAAAGGTTCATATTATTCATGAGAAATACATAAATATCACAAATATCCTTTAACATAACTTTTGTCTGTTCATTGTTCTATGTTTCAAAAATATATTGATGGGCATACTTATACCTAAACCATATTCTCTATTGAACGCCTCTGTTTGTTTAATGAACTTATGAGTTTATTTATTTGAAATATTTTTGAGTTTCTTCTACAAATTGATAGCCATTGACTTAGGGTAACGGTCATAGTCATTCTTATCTATACGCAACATAATTAATGACACAACTTGTTCCCTGATAAGAATTAAAAAAAATGTTGAATAAACTTTAGACAGAAATGAGTCTTTTGTCAGCTACCAAGTTTGTCTGGATTGGTTATTCCAATTAATGCTTATATCACATTCATCGTTTTACATTATTTTTCATCTTTTTGAAAGTGTAGTACAGGTTACTATTTGATTTATTCAATGTACGGCTGTGGGTTGTAGATTATTGAAAGGAATATAATAGGTACACTGTACACTAATGGATGTGTAATCACCCATGCTTATCCTATCAATCAACAATAAAAATACATTAATTATCAAAACCCTGTCGAGTTTGACTTTTTCGTCCCCATTTTTTAATATTTGGAGAGGTAAAAGATAATTGAATAACAAAGTGTTGAGTCTGTTGACACTTGATTAACCCACACAGCCACTAATTAATTTGTCCACTAATTAACAAGTGAGTTCAATCATTTAATAGCAGAATTAGTTCAAGGTTGGATGACAGATTGATTTTGTTAATTGCTATTATAATCAATCTGGGTCCCTAAACGGTTGTCCGTACTAAAGTGGTGGGAAAAGGCAGTTGGTACTTGGTAATACAAAAATTAAGCCTGGATTTCTAATTAATTTTTATTACAACTTGTTTAACGCAAATCTGTGGGAGCAAGCCAAAGACCATGTACATATATGTTGTTGCAACTTGTCTTGTCTTAACTATAATTTTTTTTTTTCATTGAGATGCCATTGACTCTTTAAAATTGGCTTTTTTTCTATTCGTGTCTATCACTACATGGCCCATGTATAGCGACATCCATCTGCTGTCATGACATTGATGATGTGTTAACCGTAGCCTTACAGATACTGTAATGATCAGCAGATTTTTCAGTTAAATTATATAAAAAACAATATCAAGGATTTCGATTATATAACCGAAAACAATGGAAGGTTTTTAGAATTCTGTGAGTAGTACACAGTAGACAGGTAAAATCACAATCAAAAGTGGAATTCCAGTACCCTTTTTTTTCCTTCTCAAAAGTACAAACTTCGATCCGTGTGTAACTAATTTCTGATAGGAATGTCAGAAATGAGCCGCAGCTTCTTCCAAGAACGAGAAATACCCATAATACATGAAGTATGCTGATATTGAGTTCTGGACTGAATTGATCCATATTCAACCCACCCCGAAAATTATTAAGATCAAAACAAGTTCTACCAGATTAAAATCTTGTTCTTTATTCCATTAATTATTATTAACAAGAGTTTTCAGTGAACGGTAGTAGTTGCTATCTAGCTGAACTAGTATTAGAGCATCTTTAATAGTATTTTTTATTTTAAAGAGATTATTTGGTATAAATAAAAAATATTTTATTAATTCTTAAATATAAAGAATAAAATCTTTATTCGAATTTAATGAATTTTTTAAATTTAATGAAGATGTTCTTTATTTTCAAGAACATGAGAAAGAATTAATAAATAAAATGCATAAAAACTTGTAATTTATTAATTAAAATTAGAATAGAGAGTGAAATTTGACTTTTTAGATGTGGAGAGTCAAACTTATTCTTTAATTTATATTCAAAAAATAAAAAGTATGTTTGACTCTTATTTTTATGAATAAACTTTTTATAATAAAATGTTTATTCATAAAAATAAGAGTTCAACAGACTCTTTATTCTTTAAATATAAATTAAAGAGCGAGTCTGACTCTCCACATCTAAAAAGTCAAATTTTATTCTTTATCTTAATTTTAAATAATAAATTATAAATTTTTATACATTTTATTTATAATTTATCTCTTTTATTAAATTTATTTATTGAAAAAATATATTCTCTTCATCAAAGTTTAAAGAGTTTATTAAATTTAAATAAAAAATTTATCCTTTATATTTAAAAATCAATAAAGATAAAATATGCTCATTAAAGATGATCTTAGCTTCCTTAAAAGAATATAATTTTTTGTCTATTATATACAGCATAAAAGTCTATCCCACACGTTGTCATTGCGCAACCAAATGTCAACGATTTGTACAAAACAAAACGTAACTGCTCACTCTCAATAGCCTTTAAAAGGAAACAGACAACACCACAACTACCCACGAAACCCCATTCACTTTCACATCAAATCTATGCCATTTCCGATAATAATACTCTCTAAATTTTCTACATAATCACGATGAAGCTTGTTTGGTCTCCAGAAACCGCCTCTAAAGCTTACATAGACACAGTAAAATCAGTGAGTTAGTTTTATTCTCCGTCTATTAATTGATCAATTAATTTTAATTTCAGTACCTTAATCTCTATTATACTAGAAGAGATTAGTTAACTTGGAATCATTTTTGCAGTGTGAAAATTTCAAAGAATCCAGCGTAGCCGAACTCCTCTCAGCCATGGCTGCTGGTTGGAACGCAAAGTTGATTGTCGAAGCCTGGTCCTGCGGCGGTCCAATAGCAACCAGTATCGGCCTAGCTGTAGCCGCTCGTCACACCTCTGCACGACACGTGTGCGTAGTCCCCGATGAACGTTCAAGATTAGCGTATGTTAAAGGCATGTACGAAGCAGGCATAGCAGCAACAGAAGTGATAGTAAGAGAAGCAGAAGAGGCGATGGCGGAACTGGTGGGTGTAGATTTCTTGGTGGTTGATTGTAAGCGTAAAGATTTTGGTAGGGTCTTGAGGTTTGCAGAGTTTAGTAATAAAGGGGCAGTTTTAGTTTGCAAAAATGCATGTCAAAGGAGTTGTGGTAGCAGTAATATTTCTGGGTTAAGATGGAACGTGGTTCTGGAGAGAGGGTTACGTGTCGTAAGATCGGTGCTCTTGCCGGTAGGTCAGGGATTAGACATGGCTCACGTAGGGAGTAATGTCCGGGGAGAGAATTTAAAGAAGAGTCCTACTCGTAGCCGTTGGATCAAGCATATTGATCAACGATCGGGTGAGGAGCATTTGTTTCGAGGATAATTTTGAGCAGATGTTGACTGAGTGTATTTTGGCCAAGTTTGAAAATATCTTCTACATCCCTGTACGAAGTCAAGATCAGAGGATGTAATTGATATTTTCCTTTTTGTAATTCAGGAGCTCTCAATCTCCATAGTTCAAGGCTTCAAGCCTCTTCTATGGCAGGAATTTTAGTATGAATAATGTAAATATTTGCACATTTAATAATAATTATTTGTGTTTGTATCAGTTAATTTCTTGCAGACTTTCTTATTTTTGGTTTGGGATCACGTTGGGCCAGTTTTTTAAGTATTCTAGAATGAAGGTAGTTTTTCAAAATTATATATATATATTGGTGACTGAAGGTGTTCGGATCAGTTTGCATATACCTCAATTAATTATTCGAAACCTTGAAGTTAACGATCAGATAAACTTCCAACGATCATCCCTATAAACATCCAAGGGTAATTAAACTTATGACATTTTGATTAATACATCTAAGAGTCTCTATTTGATTGCCCAGACACGCAGAAGTGGTTTAATATATATTTTTTAACACTATAAAAGCTTTAAAAATGAGATATCTATTTCATATTTTTCAATAATTACACCATAAAACCAATAGAGTAGTGCTCGATTGATAGCAAATACAATAAAAGAATACAATTTCCTCAAAATTTATAAAAAAAAATATATATTTTTTAAATTTTAATAAAGTGTATATTCAATCAAATGTGTACTTAAAGCTTTTTTTTTTTTTTTTTCTAATTAAATAGTCATATCCGTTTTGCTAAATAGTGTTGGGCTGGCCACTAGACCCAATGGGTTACATTTGGATTCGGACACTTTGCCATACAGGCTTGCGACAATTCCAAAGGCCCACACAACGATNCTTCTCAGGGAATTGGTGCCTAGAACGTTTATAGGGTGCTGTTACTGTTCCTGTTTCATTTCTTGGTATTTGCTTTTTTTAAGTCAGTGATGATGTTCTGTGGTTTAGCCTTTACACCCGTTTGTTTTGGTTGAGTTAGCATATTACTTTTTTATGCTTTTTTGGAAGTTTTGCTTTTTCATTTTCTATGTGCTTTTCAAGATTTTATCATAGGACCGCTGTGAAGAACGGGGAGTTTGTGGATTTCCTTATTCAGGATGCGGTACAAGTTTCAGGTGGCGGAGGTATTTGATGGAATCCTTACAAGTCAGGAGATACCAAGCCAAATTATTTATTGAACACCCTAAGATGAGGATATACCGAAATATAGTTTGGCCATTTATTGTTTTGGTGTTAATCATTCCACATATTCATTATCTGATATGGTCTTGACATTTTATTTTTTCTTTATTTCTTATTAATTCTAGCTTACAAAATATATATGCTTGGGACGTCTGCAGGTATTATAATTGCTTAAGAGCTTTTAGTGATGTTATTGCTGTTTGCGGTTTGATCACATAGAAATCCTCCTTCCCTCCTCTTTATTAACAATGTAATTTTTTTTCACTGATTTTGAGTATTTCCGTTGCTGGATTGAGAGTTTTTTTTCCCACTTTTGCTCTGCTTTTATAGTTTATTTTAGACTTGTCTTATTCAAGTGTCGTCATTTTCCGGATCTGATGGATACTTGGACAAATAAAGGTGATTCCATAGTTTATGGTGTGTGGTGTAAGGTCATCTCTTTCCATTAAGCTTCTTCAGCGATATTCTATGCGGTCTGGTAGTGTTGTCTATCGTCAAATAAACTATTTTACTGACTGTCCCCATTCGTTAAAGAGATTGCAATTTTCAATTGGGTGTCATTAAATCAGCTTTGATTTAAATGCTTTTGTGATTAACAACATTCATTAGTGAAATGTTACTCTGATTAATATCTTTGTTTTTCGTTTCGTTAATATTGCTTTGCAATGTCTCCTTTTAGTTTGGGTCAATGGTTTTGGTGAGACGAGATCTCCTTTACAAGATGGTATGATGATACGAGTCATATCCTGTAATGGGAGTCATATCCGTATTCATTTCTTTATATTTGCTTATTTTTAAGTCAGTGATGATGTACTGTAGGTTAGCCTTGGACTCTGGTAGACAGGTTTTACACCCTTTGATTTTGGTTGAGTTATGGTATTACTTTTATGCTTTTTTAAAGTTTTGCTTTTTAATTTTCTATATGGTTTTCAAGATTTTATTGTAGGACCGCTTTGAAGAATGGGGAGTTTGAGGATTTCCGTATTCGGGATGTGGTACAAGTTTCATATGGAGGAGGTATTTGATGGAATCCTTGCAGGTCAGGGATAGCATGCCAAATTATTTATTGAACATCTGAAGAGGAGGATAGGCTGAAACTTTTTTGGGCCATTTATTCTTTTGGTGCTCTAATCGTTCCACGTATTCGGTATCTGATATGGTTTAGCATTTTATTTTTTATTTTTCTTTATCTCTGCAGATATTATAATTAGAGCATTTAGTGATGTTGTTGCTGTTTGCAGTTTGAGCACATAGAAATCCTCCTTCACCCTTTGTTTTGAGCAATATCATTTTTCGCCATTGGTTTTGACTTTTGAGTTTTTCCGTGTTGTTGATCTGGGTAATTTTTCCCACTTCTAATGTGCATAGTTTATATTACACTTTCTTTGATTCGAGTATCCTCTTTTCTAGGATCTGATGCATGCGTACTTGGGCAATTAAAGATAAGTACATAGTTTATATTAGAGACTTTTTTTTTTCTTCATTTTTTCTACTTTTGTCTGCTTGTTATATATGGTTTTAATTTGTGGTTTTTCCATCTTTGTGATGTCTCATGTGATCGGCTAGTGGGGGTGATATGTTCTTGAATATATTATAACTATTTTTGTTGTGCTTGCTTTTCTGAACTTCTGTTGCTTTTTTCTTGGGAGGCACTGAGCTGACTTTGTTATAGGGGTATAATGTTTTCATTTAATCTTGTTTTGTACTCCTTAGAGAAACTAAGCTTTTATTAGAGGAACTAACTTTTACTAGGTGGGCAGTAGCTTTTTCAGTTATTGCATTGAAAAGAAGTTAGTTTATTTCGTCATTGTTTTGGTTTATAATTTCAAGCATTGTCAGGTGCATGTATTCATAAACGTCTTTGTTTTCCACTACACTAATATTGAATTGTAATATTGCTTTGCAAATGTCTTCTTGTAGTTTGAATCAGTGGTTTCGATGAGGTGAGATTTGATGATCTGATTATCTTTACATTTGATTATGCTGTTTATATCAAATTCTGCATTTATATTCAAAGATATATTTTTTCAGTATTATAATTGTGCATTTAATAATGATTTTTTGTTTTGCATCAAGTCTTTTTGGGTGTTTGCTTGTCTGCCTTGCAATGCAGTTTGATGATTGGTGTAAGGCTTTGCAAGGGAGGTCTGAGGTTATTTGGAGGTTGTGATAGACTAATAGTGTATCGATTCTCTCTATATTTTACTTTTAAAGCTTTTATCTATTTGTGTGAATCATTTGGAATTTTTTTTTTCAACGTCTCAGGGAAATTATGCCTAGAAGTTTCTGGGGTGGTGTTATTGTTGGATGTTGGTTCCTCGGTATTTGCTTATTTAAAGCCAGTCATGTGTATTGCAGTTTAGCCTTGGAGTTTGGTAGACTAAACCCTTTGGTTTTGGTTGACTTATCATCTTCCTTTGTGATGGAATCCTTGCAGGTCTGGCGATACCCAAGCCAAATTAATTATTGAATGCCTGCAGAGGAGAATAGCCTGAAATTTTGTTTTAACCATTATTTCTTTTGGTGTTAATCATTTAGGGATTTCATGTCTGATATGGTTTTGACATTTCATTTTTTGTTTTTCTTAATCTATTATGAAGTTTTGCTTTTTCATTTTCTATTGCTTTTCAAGATTTCATTGTAGGACTGCTGTGAAAAACGGGAGTTTGAGGATTTCCTTATTCAGGATGCGGCACAAGTTTTAGGGGGGGATGTATTTGATGGAATCCTTACAAGTCCGGAGACCCAATCCAAATTATTTATTACACCCTAAGAGGAGGATAGATTGAAATATAGTTTGGCCATTTATTCTTTGGTGTTAATCATTCCACAGATTTGTAATCTGACATCGTCTTGACATTTTTTTTTTTTTTTTTATCTCTATTAATTCCAGCTTACAAAATATTTATGCTTGGGACTTCTGCAGATACTATCATTACTTGGAGCATAGGGATGTTGTTGCTGTTTGCGGTTTGATCACATAGAAATTCTCCTTCCCTCCTGTTATGAGCAGTATCATTTTTTATCATTGGTTTTAGTATCTCCGTTGCTAGACTGAGAGTATTTTTCCCCACTTCTACTCGCTTTTATAGTTTATTTTAGACTTTGTTTGATTTCAGTGTCCTAATTTTCAGGATCTGATGGATACTTGGCAATTAAGATGAATCCATTGTTTATGGTGTGGTGTAAGGTCATCCCTCATCCGTTTAGCTACTTTAGCGATGTTCTGTGTGGTTTTGCAGTGTTGTCTATCGTCAAATAAACTATTTTACTGACTCTGTCTCCATTCGTTAAAGAGATTGCAATTTTCACTTGGGTGCATTAAATCAGCTTGATTTAAATGCTTTGTGATTAACAATATTCATTAGTGAAATGTTACTTTGATTGACATCTTTGTTTTTCATTTCATTAGTATTGAAATGTAATATTGCTTGCAATGTGTCCTTGTAGTTTGGGTCAGTGGTTTTGGTGAGACGAGACCTCCTTTATGAGTTAGTATAATGATACGAGTCATATCCTGGAGTGGAAGGCAAGTTTGTGATAAGTGGTATTTTTTGGGTTTTATTTTAGATTCGGTAGTGGTGTTTATATCAGATTCTGCATTTATATTCTATGATATATTTTAGCTGTAGGTTTGGCGATGTACAAGAATAGTGCAGTGTGCAGAGGTAAATTTGACCTGTAAATTACGATCATTTACATTAATAATGATTTTTTGTGGTGTACATCATTTGTTTTGGGTGAATTAATAGTTTGCTGGCATGATGATTGGACTAAGGTGGTTCCATTGAGGTTATCTGAAGGTTGTAATAGTGTTTTGGTTATCTTTTTATTGTTTGCAGCTTTATCCGGCCTTGTGAATCATTTCGGTTCTTTTTTTTCCAACTTCTCAGGGAATTGGTGTCTAGAGTGTTTATGGGGTGCTGTTATTGTTCCATGTTCATTTCTTGTATTTGCTTATTTAAGTCAGTGTTGATGAAGAGGTGGATAGACTGAAATAAGTTTGGCCATTTAT